GTATGATGTCACTGTGCACAGTAGTTTTGGAGTTACAACCAAAACAAAAGAAAGAAAAAAAGATGTTTTGTTGGATCGCAGTGACCTTTGACTGCCATATTCTAATCAGTGCATCCTTGAGTCCAAGTGAACTTTGCGCCCAGTTTATAGAAACTTCCTCAAACGGTTATCGGCTTCTTGGGAATGCCGGAGAGTGACGTGCGTACGGATGGGCAGTTAGAAAACACAGCGAACCCCGGCCAAGGCTGTCGTTAGCACATAAAAAGATAACACTGCTGAGCTGGTGAATCAGCTGGTGAAGATTGATTGAACAGAAAGTTGATCGTCCAGTCCCTGTAACAACACACGGTACGTGGCATTCCTGTTAAGCACAAAGTCACGCTCTATCTGGAAAAGAGAGCTGACGCAGTGACTAAATGAATTCATGAGTGAATGCAGTTAGTACTGCAGGACTTTTAAGTGCATGTGGCCAAGCAATCCAAACACTTTTTATATAGTCAGAGGAGGTTTTATAACTTGAAGTGCAAGATATTTAAAATGTCAGCACTTGTTGTTTCAGCTCTAAGGAAAGTGAGAGAACACGAAGTAGTGCCGGTGTGTAAGAAATCACTCCCGATTTGATCTGAATCAGGCTTCCTGAGAGGCTGCGGTGTGTGTTTGTACAAATGGGCTGCTTGAGACTGAAAACTGAAAGCCAGCTTGAAGCCACACCTGTGTGTGGCTGCATGCCAGTTAGCACAGGGAGTGTGTGGAGGTGCGTGTGTGTTTACCAGTGTGTGTGCGTGTGTGTGTAGCAACAGGAACGCGATGCTGCCGCCGCTGTTGCGGGAACAGGGCTGAATCACAGCGGAAAAGCCTGCTCCTCGTGCTCTCGTCTAATGGATTAGATCCTCCAAAGTTCCGCAAACAGAGCGATCTGATCCAGCGGGACTTTCGCTCAGATTTTTCACACGGCAGCCCTGATTGCACCGCAGCCCTAATCCTTAGCAACGCGTCTTGCATAAACTCCACATTTCTCCCAGCCTCCCCACAGCGCATTCTTTCTACCGCTTCACTCTGCGGTCGAGAAAGAAAAAAACAGGTATTGCTCAACAGACAAGCAGAACAGGCTCTGTGCTGCGCTGGAGCCACGAACTCCTCGTACGCTCACGCCGCCACAGACTAAAACCACCAAAACACGAACGCACCGCCACATCTCAGAGTGTCCCGACCTCTTTCTACACATTAACCACATAAAGGAAGGAGTCTGGATCAGAGCGCTGGAATAAGGAGGAGGGAAAATTAGGACATCTTCCATTCAAAACTGGCCTAAATAAATATCAAGATGTCGATTTCTGCTATTATTTTCAAATAAAAGGCTAAAAGATAAGTGCTGTTAATGAAGGAGTTCCACAGAAGGATAACAGATCGATAAATTGAATGGGATACATTTCATTATTAACATAGTGTACACAGTGCTGTGTACAAATCAGTTACTCTTTGTTAGAATTCCAGAAGGGTTTTATGACAAATTAAAGGAAAAGTCACTGACAGTTTCTCCCAGGTCTCTGGAAATCTGCTGGAGCGTTCAAGCATCATTATTCCTGATGTTGGTCCAACACGTCTGTCCTAAATCTTCTACAGGTTCAAGTGTAACAAAATCCAGCTTGAGCTGCTTTCAGCTGCTCCTTTATTTACAAGCAGTCACCACAGATGGTAGCTCTACATGCCGGATCTGACTTTTTTTTAAATGCCCAATGTCCTTCCTGACATATCCCCAAAGGCATCAGTGTCCCCTCCCGGGATCAAACTGGGATATTTTGTTCATTAGTCAGGTAAATCACATCACTATAGAGCCACCAGTGGAACCCTGTAAAATCCAGAATTTAAAAAAAAAATACTTAAATTACTTTCAAAACATTTAGATATTCAGAAGTGTCTAGATCACGTTCCCACGTCACTCCCTTAGAGGAGAATTTGAAAGATTTGCAAATAAACACTTAGAAAAAAAATTAATCGCAAATTATTTCGAACCAGAATGATTCACAGCCAGAGGATGAACCCAATATCAAAATTTAGGTACTTTAATTCGTTTTGACCGGCCACCCATCACCAAGAAATGCAATTTGTCTCTAGATGGACGCACTCTAAAATGAACTAGGCTGCAGAGCTTAAATGAATGTGTCTACTTGCTGAAGTCATGAGGGCTTGAAAATGCAGGCAAACTTCAACCCATCCCTATGTACTTCAAGGGCTTGTAACTCGGGTTTCATAGCTTGAAGATAACATTGTGCATAGGTTCATTAATCATCCTAAAGTTACTTCACAAAAACATTCAGCTGGTCCCGAGAGGCTCGTGTGGAAGTGACATTTAAAGCACGCGCGTGCTGCAAATGGTCAATAGTAAGCATGCGGTGCACCTCTGTGGCAGCATTTGAATTAGTCTTTCCTCCCAATGCACATTCGGGTTTTGCCTTTGATCTGTCGCCCACCTGCACACACCACTCCAAAATATAATTACTTCTCCATTAAGGATGAATGTGCTAGCTTCACAGTTAGCAATTTTGTGCTAGTTTTCATTTGAATGATCTCTCTCATCAACTCCTTATTTTATGATGCTCAGAAATTACCCTGAAAAACATGTTATGGTTTTTGTTTATATTGTACTGAAAATACAAGACGGTTCTTTGTTTCTAAGTTTGGAATCGAGGGTTTGAATCGGGCATTTTTACCCATACCTCCTTAATTCCAACGTCCTGCAGACATGGGATACGTTACATGCTTTACCTAGAGGGCACTTTTACAAACAACACATCAAACTAAAGGTCGTTTAATAGGCAGAATTTTTTAAATATTTATAATATTTATCAGATTGAATGAATGGGCAGTAAAAAGAGCAAACTCCTTTCTTTTAAATCAGTTATTTTCAAATGAATGGCCTTGTTGGAAGGGCTTTTTGGCCCTTGTGATGCATAATTATTTCACCGCGCTCGCGAGATGCCACTGCATTTTAGTTATGGATGCTTTGAAAGTTTACACTACATTAAAAATAACTGCAACCTCTTTAGTTTTATAGAGAGCTGGCCAGCACCCTATGCCGAGCCTGATTTGGCCTGTGAGCCGCAAGTTGAGTATCACTATTACAGACCTCTTATGAATTACAGGGAAGTTAATAAATAGTGAAAATAACATGTTTTTTAATTATTTCCCCATGATTTCATTCTGCTAACACAAACAAGGTAGCTGAGGCAATTGTTTAAATACTGAGAGTTTAGAAGATGTCAGCAGTATTTCTGAGTGTCACACTGATGTAAGATGTGCAGATTCACAGATCTAACACTTTATTTCCTCAGAGGTTTTTCCCACTAAAAGCTGGGTGAAGAGAAGATAAACAGAAGAAGAGGCTGAAAGTCTCCCCGGAGGACGGCAACAATGGCTCTCCGGTGGTCCCGCTCTCCTCTCCGGGTGAGTTAGATCACTAACACGCGGTCTAGACTGGTGAGTCACAGCAGGCTGAGTTAGCTGATCACTGAGGCCAGTTCAGTAAGACTTAATCGCCACACAGTGAGCTTCACTGGAGTGTGACAAGGGCACGAACTCTATGGATAGAAAGGCCACTGAACACAGACACACACACAGGCACGGGGACGGGGAGGTGAAAGAGTGTGTGTGTGATATAACACTTTTACAATACTTCATAACTGAAAGTAAGACTGCTGAGATTCACTCTGGAGCCAGTCGGAGCGCTCGCCCTGAACTGATGCTTCACAGATTGAGTAAAGTGCACCAACCAGTTCCCACCAACAATGCAGTCATAGATGAAAATCACTTCACCTGTGACTAAAGGCTTTGTTTGTGTGTGTTTGTGTGTGTGTGTGTGTGTGTGTGTGTGTGTGTGTGTGTGTGTGTGTGTGTGTGTGTGTGTGTGTGAGCAGCTAATAAAACAGACAGTTGTTTGTACTTACATTAGTCATTTTTGTTCTGAGGCTGACATGAATGAAAAACCCCAAAGGGGGCTCTTTCTTTATTTTGTGCACATCAATGAAAGCCAACAGCTGCATGTCAATAAAGTGAGCACTGCAGAATAAATTGTTATTGAGTTCAGATTCATTTTTTCCATTAGCATGTGCCAATAAAACTGCTTTTAAAAGCAGCTGGCTGGGGGTTATTGATCTCCCCAAATACACCTAAAATCGATCTATAAAGGGTCATATGCACCCATTAATCTGCACTATCAATCATTTTCTCAGTTAACAAACTAAATAGCCCAAGTACAGACTGACCATCAGATCAAGCATTAAATATATATATTATTTAATATTATAAATTATTATTATCCCCCAAAGCCTATAATAAAATGAAAAACAAGCAAAAATATGATTTGCAGCTCATTTGCACCTTCCAGTTAGCTCTTGTTTTACTGGCATGTACTCAAGCTCCAAGTGTGACAAGTGGCCCCTCTATGGCACAATGTCTCCCTTTTAGAGCCAGGAGTGAATAATTGACATCGTCATGATCCTTGGCCCACAATGCACTGCCTGTTTAGTGTCTTGTTTTTGTTTGTGTTTACAGCAAAGCCACGAACCGTCCGCCTGCAGTGCACAAGTCAGTTGTGTCGCAAAGCTGTAAAGCAGGTTCTCATATTTCTTACCTGAGTCTCTGCTCTGTGTTTATTTGAGCAAGTCAACGTGTTGCAAGATTGGAGATATTTGTTTATTTAGTCTTTGAATCTTTTTTTTTATTATTATTATTTTGGTCCAAACTGTAAATCTAAAGCGAGGCTGTTTTGTGACAGGTGTGATTTTTCCTCATAAGCAGCCCTTCATAAATCCCAGGAGAGCAGAGAGGACCCGGCTGAGGAGTCACGGAGGAATGTAGTCCTCCGGACCAGAAAAAAACCTCCAGCGTTTCCTAAAATTACAGCCAGCACACTCCAGTGCCATCTTCCCGAAGCTCCGTGGGTCTATTTTGCCGACGGCGGAGGCATTATTGACAGGGGGAAAGCGCTGAAAGTTACCCACCTTCTCTGCCTGAAGCGCCCGTCACTCCGAGCAGTACGGCCCCGACAAACAGCAAACTTCTCGCCGCCTCCATCTGCGCAGACCCGGCGCTTCTAGTCCATCTGGGGGAAACAGAGATTAAGTTTTTGCATCTCATTTAGAGCTAACTGTCGTTTCTGGCGCCGTGTGGAGTTGTTGTTCGTGTCCGAATCTCAGTTACTTCCTCCCATGAATTCCCTGCCTGTTGGTAGTAAGCGCGTAACAGGAGCGCAGGCGCGCTCCCGTGGCGTAAAGGCCTGAACGGGGAGTGGCAGGTTCAGTCAACCCGCCCTCACTCCGGTCTGACTTATTTAACCTATAACACGTTTCATTCTAATTATGCCTAAAAATGACCTTCAAACTTTAATTGCGCTTATTTCTCCCCAGAGGGCTCAAATGGATCAAAGTGTAAAATATGGAGGAACAATTAAAGCAATTAAACCATTTACCCCGCTCATGCATAATCTGTGAATATGCTACCACCTTTTTTTAAAATGTCAGTATCCCTTACTATCGCTTGCAAGTAAAGGGGAAAGTCAAATTGGTTATATGCAGGGGCGTTTCCGGGATTTTTTACAGTAGGGTGCCACAGAGTGGTGGGGGTCCGCATACAGGGTGTATCCAAAAAAGAATAACAAAAAAAAATCTTCTGATTTCAAAGTGTTTTAATTCCACAGCCCTTCACTGGAAACAGTCGAAACCTGTACTGTTAGAAGAAGCGGATTTGTGAGTTTTGCACGGTTGTCGGTGGGTAGCAAAACAACAGAAGTGACTCCAGACATGCCCGCAAAAGTATGGGACGAGTTTGACTTTCGTATGAACATGTGCCGTGCATCCAGAAGAGGACGCATTAAACACTTGTGAACATTGTAAGTTTTGTTATGTTAAACTTTATTTTCAGCAATGTATTAAAAAAAATACCACAAACATCTGTGTCCATTGCTTAAAAAAATACCTAGCCTTTTGGAATCGGATGATTTCTTTAGATGCACCCTGTGTTTATGAGAAGCAAAATCTGGGCTCTCAAAAAGTATTCTTGACCCTCAAATATGAAGCGTTAATTTTGAATAAAATGCACTTGAAATATGTAAACTCAAAGGTTTATTTATTCAAATAATTAACCATTAAGGAAAGTATGCTTGATATAAGCTGACCACATACCAATCAAATAAGTTTCATTCACCAGATTGCATTAAATGTTTTACATTGTACATTTACATGTAATCAAATTACTCAAAGTTAGCATTTTGGGGGTAAATATTTTTATGAATAGAGCATTGACTTTGAAAAGTCTGGCTGTGATTTTCAGTCCCTGAACCCTATTACGACTGTATAACGTGAAAAGTGGTGCTTTACAAGAGTTTAAACATAATTTTCTGTTGGTCGATTATTTTGGTAAGTTAAAAACATTAATTTGATTATGTAAACGTAGTAATAATTGTTAAGTAACTTAGTAATGCAACGGCTGTATAACCATCATACATTTAAAGCGCCTCCAGTAAACATGCAGATTATGTAGAATGCATTTTCAGATTCATACACATTATAAAATTAAAAATTAGATCATAATTATTTACTAATTGATGTAAATATCACTGTTGCACCTCAGGATGATTTTAATTACGGATATATTTCTGGGCATCTTGTTATGATAAGCAGGTTGTGGATGGAGGCAGGACTCTGAGGCAGGCAGATTTAAAACAGAAAATTACCTTTATTAAAGGTAAAGAAAAGTCCAAAACACATTCCAGAAGTCCACGAGGAGAACATAAATAACAGAGGAATAACAGGAGAAACTAAATTCGACTGGAAACAGGCTGGAAACACAAGGGGATAACAAACAGACAATTTAACAATGAACAAAGGAAATACAGGACTATAAATACTCACACACTGAGTGCTAATCAAGGGAAGTGAACACTACTGGAAGAAATTTAGGCACAAGTAAACAGAATCTATGAAACTAAGAAAATAGCAATTACAGACTAGACACACATTTACACAGCAAATTAACATAAATGAACACCGGAGAAAATAAACTAAGGCACAAGGAATGAGATATAAAAAAATAAATTAATAAAAGAAACTAGATCTCAAAGAAACAGTGACTAACTCCAGATTATACTATAATTACAAGAAAATAAAGAAACTCCTGAACTGAAAACATAAACTGACAACTTAATATACTAGGTCCAAAACCCAGGACTATGGCAGATCTATAATAATGCAATTTATCTAAAAAAAAAAAAAAAAAAGTAAGTAACTTAAGGTTTAAAATGAATGGTATGGTGTAGATATTATAATATTTAACATTTACATATAAGTGCATTAGAACTTTATCTGAGTAAAGTACTAAGTTACACAGTTTAAAAAAAAACATTAAAAAGCAGACAATGTCCTGGTAATTTTCTGTAATGTAAACGGTAAAATTCAGTGGATGTAATGTAACTCGTTTTAAAATGCTACATTGTACTGTATAGATTCCTACAGGTCCATGCTCTCTTCCAATGCTGGGCATTATACAGTTGTCATGGAGTCTTAGACGCATGTGGTTTTTGTGTCTTATTGTGTCTTCTTATTGGTTGTTCTGACACTTACTTTTTAAAAATGTATTTTAGTCTTTTCTGTTGTACATCCCATTTTTCTATTTTTCTATGATGAGCACTTAAATAAAGTCACTTTTGTTACACCACATCTATGATGTAATACTGATCCCCAAACATCCATGAAACCCTACAATGTGATACATTTCAGATTAAAAGGGGACATCCGGATATTTGAAAAATGTTAAAGTTAAATTGCCTTTAAAAAAAAAAAAGAATTACATTAAATGTGCATTACCATATATGGATAGACCCACATCAAGAGTTTATTTAGAAACATTACCTAACAATTATCCCACTAACACGATATTTCACCAAATCAACATGTAGTATTAAATGCCTGTTTAAAAGAACAACACATTTTACAATAACTGTGTCAAAACACTTAATTGCCAAATTCAAACAAATTTAATTTGAATTTCACTGAGTTTTGTAGATGTTGAAAAACTCCCTGTCTGATTTATTAAATGTGAAAAGGCAATGATTACACTCTTAGCTGCACTATTTCATTATAAATCACACTGACTGATATCAATGTGTTTATTTTTGCAAACTGGCAAATTTTTAGATTTAAGTCTTGCTTTGTATATCAATATGTTTGACTATTAAAACTTTATTAACATTTAAGGAATGAATCAAATCAACATTTTAGATCAGGGGGAAAAAAAGGTGAATTCTTTGCGTGATACAAGCTTGGAGTGTCTTCATATTTCTTCTGCTTTTCTCATGCTCTTCATTCACGGTCACAAATCAGGAGTTGAAGGAGGAAGAATAAACTCTATTCATCCCAATCTATCGTCTCTCCCCACCCACAGAAGCCCGGGTCAGAGTCCAGCCTCTTGCACAGAGCTATCAGAAAACAACAATAAGCTACACACTGAGCCACACAGACCACAAGTTGCGGTCCGTTTGCGAAGCTGAGTATTGCTAGTGAGGCTGAAATATTTAGTTCCCACAGAAAAAAAAAGTCAGTTCAGTATTCTAGTTGGAAGATTTTCCCAGCAGTGAACTTTAAGTCTTAAACTTTAAGTGTTTGTTGGCTCTGTATGCGACTCCTCGTTTTAGCTGCATTTGAAAGCAAGCTGTGCTACAATAAAACCTGATGCAGTGGTCAGCAATTTTCATCGCACTCGATGGTGGAAATCCCTTCAGAAAACATGGCTGTAATTCTAAGGGACACATAAAACATGCGTTAAAAAAAGAGGTCTGCATGGGTTAAAAGGTGAGGAGGCCAGGAAGTGGGTGAGAGATAATGTGTTCAAGTGAGAGAGTCCAAGGACAACTGCAGTAAAACCCAGGGAAAATATACAGAAAAGAAGTCATTACCAAAGAACATCATAAATTCACTCATAGTTCAGTTCCCCTGACCGGCCAGGTATTTAGATTTGGCATGAGAGAAGAAATAAGAAATACAGTGTGGGACTCTTCAAGGACAAGAAAACCATATTGTTTCCCACTGCTGCTCATAAATCCAAATACAAGTCTAAAGGAATCTGTCTTGATTATATCAGAGACACAATGAAGGTATCTGTGCATATATCACTGGCACAAATAGTACAAGGTCAGCAAGCCCTTTAGACTGCAGTGTAATAGGGGAGGGACGAACCACAGACTATACATGTCACTTCTCTGCTCACTTTTCCTGCTCTGTTGATACCTCTAGCTGTGAACATTTCATGTATTTTAACACAGGTTTAGCGTAACATTTCACTCCTTCAAAACCTCCACCTAAATACAAGAAAAAAATAAGGATTACTTAAACTTTTATAAGTATACGTGGGAGGAAATGGAAATACATCAGTGCTTTGTAAGAGACACTCACAGGCCTGTGAAGTGGATAAACAGCTCAGTGCATTTAGGCATGTAGACAGCTCGTGTCAGAGGTCAGAGGAGAACAACTAGATTACAACTAGGCAACAGTAACTAAAATAATCTCTAGTTACAGGATCTCTGGAAGCACATTGTCTACAGCAGCAGAAGACCACACCAGGTGCCATTCCTGTCAGCTAAGGACAGGAAACTGAAGGCAAGCAAACCAAAACTGAACAACAGAGGCATAAAAAGAGCTGCTGGGTCTGATGAGTCTAAATTTCTATTTTGACAATCAGATGGTAGGGTCAGAATGTGGTGCAAACAACATGAAACCATGATTTCACCATGTTTTGTATCAACAGTTCAGGTTGCTGGTGGTGTTAAGAGATATATTTGGGCTCCTCCTTACTAATTCAGCTTACCTCCTTGTTGTTTCCACCCATACCCATCCCTATATGACCACAGTGTGTGATCGCCCGGTGGCTGCTTCCAGCAGGACAACATGCCTAAGGTGTCAAAGTTCAGTCATCTCAAACTGGTCTCTGGAACATCACAATGAGTTCACTGTTCTCAAATGGCCTCTACAATCACCAGATTCCAATCCAATAGACTTTTTGGATGTGGATGAATGTGAGATGCTCATCATTGATGTGGCAAATCTGCAGCAACTGTTTGCCATTAAAACTGCTACTTACTTTCGAGTTCCCTTAAACATATTTTTACTGTAAAATATAACATCATATGCTTTCCAGAGACTTTACGTCACATCTTTTCTGAACTACAAAAGGATATCAGATTTTTTGTAATGTCCCCTCTGTCCCTGCACTTCACAGTCACTGAAACACT